TGAGATTCCTTCTGGGGTCAAAGAAACATTACCTCACGAAAATGGAAGGAAATAATTCTCACTTATCAAAAACTACTCAAAATACCAGTGTTCACAAGTTACATGGATAAATATTTCCAGAAATCATGCTTTCTTTGCACAAAAGACTTACTTTATCTCATTAAGGACAGCAGAGGTGTCATGCAAGGGGTCTCAAGACAGCTTTAAGTGGCTGTGAGGTAATTAGTGGTGTAGTAAGCTGAAAATCTGCTACAGACGACTCCTTATTTTTTTACTTTTGCTTCCAATTGTTCATTATTAAACTCCTGCATAGTTTTAATTGACCATACTTGAAAATCTTAGTAGAATTGAGCAGTCTAATGAAGTGAAATCAAATTTGAAAATAAATCACTTACCTCAGAAATGCACTGTGTAACATTATGCTTCCTTTCCTTGTAAGTGCAAGGAATGAAAGGCTGAGCATCTTTTAGAGAATAATCTTATGCAGGCAGAATATACCTATACAAAACATTACTTAACTGTCATGATTAGGCTGTGTGCAGGCAGGATGAGGACGCAAACGCAAGCTCACGGAGGCAGGAATGAACTCAAAACACAGTTTTATTGCTGACGGAAGTTAAGGCGATACAAAATAATATGAAACTAAACTGGGAAGTCATAAAGGAACTGACTCACAAGGAAACACACAGAGGGGCACACAGTCATGAGGGAGAACGCTAGGGGTGGGGGAAAAAATCAATACTGTGTAGTATCGTGATATTTTGTTTGCTAATAATGTATCGATACAGGGACAGCAGAAGTCGATATTTTGTTACAAAAAAAGGTTTTGTGCTCTGACTTCAGAGCATGTTGATCCTTTTTCTGAGCAAGAATCCTGACATTCCTTCACTGTCCAAATGTGTTTAACTTTTTTTTGGCAGCAATAAACATGACAGTTTACTTATTTTAATTTAAGACATGTTTTATTTTAATTAAGTTTAAAACTTTTTTATTTAATGTAAAATTATATTTTGTTTTAATTTACTTTAAAATTCTTCGGTTGCTGAAGGGGCTGCATAGTTTTCATAAATTGCATAGTTCAGAATAGCTATAATTGTACCAGATGGTTGCATTCAGTTAAGTTGGACTAGACTGTAATACAAACCGTTCAGTTTGTCAACAATAAAACTGACTGAAATGAGAGAAAAACTGAGTGCGAGACTTTGATATTAGATAAAATGAATATTGATAAAGTTTACCTTTATGTACAGAATCTGAATATCACAAAATATAAAAAAAAAATTGCAATAATATCGTATCGTGCGTTAAGTATTGTGATAATATCGTATCGTGGGATGTATGGTGATTCCCACCTCTAGAGAACGCGACACTGAACTGAGGGAGACGCGGCCATAAATACACAGAGGGTTAACGAGGGAAGTGGGACACACGGGGAACACAGCTGACACAGATAATCGTAATGAGACAGGGCAGGATCGAACACAACATGACACATACTGACGAGAGACTGTCAAAGTAAAACAGGAAGTAAACAGAGGTTCAGACAGGAGGAGAGAGAGCACGGGGAGAGCACAGACATAACGGGCTGGGGAAAACATGGAATAAAACACAAGGAGGGGAAACGAGGACTCACAGATACACAGAGGGGCACACAGGGGGTAATCAAATAAGGAACATCTTAACAGAACAACCTAGGAACCAAGGCATAAATAAAGAACAAAATACAAAACACACGAAAACTAAGAATACTGGGCCAACATGGCAACAAAAGGTTACTGTAACTGAGAGCAAAAACAGAAACGTTTATTTAATATTGAAAATTAAAAACACCTTCGAACTAAAAATGTGTTCTAACATTGGAAATTAAATTTTCATGTTTTAGGCAGAGTATCATCAAGTCTAAATGATCAAAATATGGACTGTAAAATAGCACGTGATGCTCCAATAAACGTACGTCTCCCTTCTTCACTCAAGTTTCATACGTACTGTTACACTTGTAAGTGGGGGACCTGAATACTGTATTGCCAGGAAATACTTTACTTTGTGCTTGGTTCGACTCTGGTGGCCTTGCTAATCATATAACAACATCAATGAAAAGGCCTTTTGAAATAAGAACCCATAGCCGGAAAGCTGGGTGTTAGTCTACAGGTTGTTCATTCGCTCTTGGCAGGCATTCAGGCCTCAGTTAAGGCCACAATCTGATTATATTCCCACTTTTAATCTCAATAAACACACCTAAGTGAATTAAACTTGACACTGAGTGCTGGTTATGGAAGAAGCAAAACAGACTCATCTTGATCAGGATATGGGGGGAAAAGAGAGTTTTTGCTTTTGAAAAGGTGGAAAGCTAGTATGCTTACTTCTTTTTTGTTTTTTCACTTTTTTTTATGGTTTTCATCCCTTTGCATTATTTAGAAATTTGTCTCGCAACTCTTTGGATGAAAATAAGTTGTGTGTTTCCCGCAGTGAAGATGACTTCCATGTACTGGGCTGGCCTCCGAGTACACGTGCATATCAATAAAAGGAGACTCTTTGAACCTTTTCAATTCGGCAGAGCATTTCAGTCTCCTTTCAAGGACCCAAGAAGCACAATGTCTCCATCCACAGGACAAATGTGGTCATTGAATGGCTTCTTAAACATTAACCGTGAACCATTACTAATATGTTATAGTTATGAGACATTAATCCAGTGAGAAGATTGTCGCTAGTGCAAAAAGGAACATTCATTATAAAAAATTGAAAAAAAAAAAACATACTGAGATATCATTGCAGGGATCTGACCATGTGGATCTGACCATCAAATGACTAAAGATAAAATAAAAAGAAAGAAAATACATTTGACACTAATTGACTGTCAGCGCATGTTGCATTATATCTTTCATGTATGTTTGCAGTTTCAAATGTTTTCTTTCAGTGATTATTTAGCCTTTCAGGATGGCACTATAATCCATGCCAGCCAGTAGATGGCCCTGCAACACAACTATAGTTACAGCATTTCCACTGTACATGCATTTAAGTCAAAGTGATTATACATTATGTTGATTTTCATTTCTTACAAAGAAGTAAAGTCACTGCATTACTTACATTTTGTGAGGTGCATTTGCAACACAGCTACTGTTCAATATCGATCATCTACATTGTTTTGTTTTTAACTCAAAATCACCACAGAGACATTGAAGACATTTCTGGGAGGTTTCATTGATTTATTGTTTTACCAATTTCTGTGCAAGGGTAAGAATTACAAAAATCTACACACTAGAGATGATAATATATCCTGTTTCTATCATACAATGTTACTTTTACAAGCGTCCTTTAACAATATGTATATATTCATTCCGATGTACCTATTACACATTAAAGATATACTGATCATCCGCATAAGATGGACCACAAATATCACCAACAGTAAACAAGTTTGGCTAAACGTACGCACAGCCTGCAGTGACCATGTGTACTCTAGACGAGGCTTGACAAGCTTCAATGATGATGTGCTATATCATGTTCCTAGTACAAGTTCATCAAAATGAAAACACAAAACTTACAAATGCAGCACAGTTCCCTGTAGTGTTTTTTGTATAAGTGCATTAGTCATTTGAAGTGTACGAGAGTCTGTTGAGGTAACACAGCTAATCCTTTAATATAGAGAGTTGACAATAATATAAGCTCTTTTTTTATGTTTGTCTTTATTTCATTGTTTTAATTATAGGCACAGCATATCTATAATGGTCACAACAACTTTCGGTATTATTTGTATTACTGTACTTCAGGTTATTTTGCTACTCTCTGGCCCATTCTGACATTAACAGATGAAGAAAAAAGAGAAAGTAGTTTTGGCTAAGGAAATCACTTACTTTTCTTTTGATATATAAGAATTAAGAAGTAACTTTAGAAACAGATTCCCAGTCCTGACACGGAGTGGACACTATCAAATATTAGAATCACAGTGGGTATATAACAGTCCTGGTCCACTGCTGAGGAAATGTAACAAATGGAGGGAGAAGAGGAGCTGCACTGCTGCCGCCTGACACAACTTTGCCTGACACAGGCTATTGGACAATGAGATTACCATCGCAGACTGAACTTGCCAGACTGAAGCAGCAGCACAAGCTGGCAAACTGGTGCCAATTAGGCCCATTTGTGCTTTAGTTGCCAATCAGTCTGCTGCCAGGAGTTTCACCAACACTTTTTTCTTAGCTTTACCCAGCTCCTTACATTTCAAGGTAACATTTGGAGGATTTCATTTAAAGCCACCGTGCATAGAGGTTTTGTATAGAATCTTTTAACGGCTTGGGGCCGAAGCCCATGATAACATTACACAGCTGCAATCTCCTTGGAGCCAGCATCTAGTGGTCATTAGAAAAACTGCAGTTTGAGACAGGTCCACTGTGTTTTCCCCATCCAGCCATGTTGTCTGTCTGTCTGCTTATGCTGTGACGCTGTGGGACAGGCTTGCTGAGACAACTTCTTTCAATATAAATGGTATATAAAAGGAATATTATGAACCACCACCACAGACTAGATGTCTATATGATTAGTGGTGAAATATTCCCTTAAGTATTCTCTTTATAATGGAGCAGGAAACCACTCACAAAGAACACGCTCATGGCATCTTTGTAACCTAATAACATTTCATTGAGATACTTCTCTGTTGTGTTTCAGTAAACAGAAGCATTTTCCAGTGCATCCCTTTACCCAGCATGGCTATTCAGCATGACAGCATTACTATAAAATAATTCTCATAGATTTAAATCCTATTTTTGCGTAACATATCACTGCAGTACAGTACATTGACTTGTTCCCAACACACGTGGAAACAGAGTGGATGTTGTGGGCAGAAACAAGCACCTATCCTACACTACACAAGATTAGTGGTAAATATTCATCGGGTGTCAATGTTTGTTTTGCCGTCCAAAAAAAGGGGAAGGGACATGATGATAATCTGAATCACTCTGTATCCACAGCATTCTTCAACCACTTGTCTGACTGGAGCTACATGTTACCTTGTTTGTCCGAGGAAGAAGAGGAGGTGGATGGTGATGGAGACGGTGCTTTGGGGAAGACCCTGTCAGTGGGAGTAATGCTCGGGCTGCCCAAACCAGACGAACTGGAGCTGCTGGAGCGGTGAGGTCCTTGGCCCTGTCCAATCACAGGAGCCGGTCGAACAGGTCTGACAGGCGGGGGCCTTAAAGGAGCACTTGGTCTACGGACTGACAGAGCGGGCTTAAAAGTGGTCATAGTCTCAGATGAGGAGCTACTACTGCTGCGTCGCTGGGCTGCATCTGGATCCCTGATCACCATGGTATGGAGAGGGCTGGCAGACACCTCCTGCACTCCACCAGGGTGCTTAAGCGGCTCCAATGTGTCGAGCACAACGTCAGGCGCGTGCTTGGCTACATTCTGCCTCTCCAACTCACGCAACTCATGCAGGGCTGTATTCATTGTTTTCTCTATATCCTGAGAAGCATAAGTAGAGGAAAAAACAAAAGACACTGATGTCAAGCAACCAAGCAGAGAGTAGCTAAATCTATTTTAAGTTTTATTCCTCAGAGCTCGAGCCTTTTTATGTGATGGTGGAAAAACTAAACCCAAAATTTTATTTGCCAACTGTGTAATGTTTTGGTACCCATCAAAGAGCTAATGATGCACATAATATTTAGGAATGGTAGCGAGAATTGAGATTTTTTTCCTCCTTAATTTTGCCTCGATACAGTTATGATTTTTCAGATGAAGCTATAAAAGGAAGCTCCCTTTTTAGAGAAGCCATACATATAGGATAGTTGTATACGTACATGTTTGTTATACAATAAAATAAGAAAAGTCTATATTAAAAACTGCATGTGCTTTTAAGGATTTTAATCACCTCAGCGAGTGCCTCGGTCTCAAGAGCCTTGTGGTCTCCTAAACTTGCATGCCGGGTGGTGCTTGGTGATGATCTTTGAGAGTGGCTGTCGACAAACGCCTTTCTATCAGGGTGGCTGATGCAGCCAGCACTGCCAAATGTGGTGAGACGGCGTTTCTCGGGACTGTCAGTTAGACCCCTGCTGACAGCTATTTTGTGTGGACTCTGGGGGCGAGGCATAACCCTGGGGGGTAGATCAGCAGCTCTGGTGGGGCTCAGGCTGTCGGCGCCATTCCTATGGCGTGGAGCTGCAGCGCCATCTGATCGCACTCGCACCCTAAAAAGAGGCGATGAAATTGATATTTAATTCGTGAATAGTTTCAGTTTCTTTGCTCTGGATAAATATTCAATGTCCTTCCTCTCTCAAGTCCATCCCAAATATCTAACTGTTACTACCTTCCTAATGCTGGTCCAAAGCGGTTCTCAGGTGTGTGTTCACAAGGAGACTGACGCTCATTCCTTGATGAGGTTCTGTCATCGTGGTGCGGCCCACTGCTGGTCTCACTCTCAGTCCGATGAATGCTCTCTGAGAACGCGTCGTCCCTGATACAGATGCATATCGATGACGCTTTTTTATTCATGTTTAACATAGAAAATAATTGACAGTAGTCTGCTAGATAAACTAAATAAGGAGTTCTGCAGTGTTTGAACTGTTAATTCATTTCTGTGTTCAATTTTTTTAAAGATTTTTTTCTTGATGAATGAATCATTGATAACTACATTCCCATTTCATTTAAAGCAACTGTTCATTGAGTTTTTGTACAAAGTATACAATCTGTTAAAGCCAGAACTGTAAGTGCTTGATTCTGAAGCCAAAGCCGACGTAACAGAGTTGTAATTTCCTTTGAGTCAGTGTCTAGAAGTCAATAGGGAACTGCAGTTTCAGGCAGTTTCACTGTCTTCAACTTCTTTCATTATAGTTGTTGAAAATCAAATGAGAATCCTTAATAATCACATCCCTGCACAAAAACACCACAGCATTGTACCTACCAAGCCCATTCTTTTAAAGGGAAACATTAACCACTAATTACTCTGTCCTTTTGGTCCTTTTCTGCATAAATCACTACTCTTCCTAATTTAGCTTTAATTTTGTTACCTGCCTACTATTTATCAGAAAAGAAGCTATTAAGAAATTAAAGGCCTCCATTCAATACGTGACCTGAGTGAATGTCCATTCGAAGAAAATCTCTTTTTAGCAAATTGTGGATCAGAGGGTAATTGCTTCGACCACAAAGGTTATGTTTTTGTTACCCTTTGTCTGTTAGCAGAATTACAGAATAACTACCACTTGAATCTGAATCATGAAAAGATGGATTGTAGCCAAATAAAGATCTCAACACATTTTGGAATAAATAAGAGTGATTAATGTGCTTAGTTGAGGTCTGCCCTCTTTGAGTATCTGTTGCTCCAATAAGAATGCAATAAAATGAAAGTGTAGCATTTTATTCATAATGATCCTTTCATTAGGAAGATTTCATTAAGGCCAAGCTTTCTGAAAATGGAACACAACTGACAAGCTTTTTTTTTTTACTTTTTATGGGCTTCACAGCCTAAATAAATCTAACTTACATGTCTTGTACCACAATGTATTGATGTGGGATCAGCCCATCCACACCATTATGTCGCCCTTCCCACCAGTCCTGAGAAGCTCGCAGGTAGAGCAGCAGAGAGGCTCCCTTCTTAAAGGACAGCTCTCTTGGACTTCGGCCCACGTAGTCAAATTTGGCTATGGCTTCGATTTGCTCCAATTCTGCCATATGAAAAAAGATCAGAGGAAATCTCATTATTTTCTCTGTCAGCTTCTCAACATCCAGCTGCTGTCTTCACAATGGATTGATGTGTTTGCTGACTCACCATCATCACTTGTGTTAGGCCCGGTACCATTGTCAATCTCATCCAGAGCTCCTGGTTCACTGTGGGGGCTTTCACTGGAGAGAGGAGATGCAGAAAAGGAAATGAAAAAAATAAGAGCCATTTACGCACTCTTATTCTTCAATCATTACCTTTTATAACAAAGGAATCCTTAATTACCAGACCAATATTATATTTATCATGTGGCAGCAACCTCAATAGACCGAGGCATGCAGACAGTCAAGACAACCTGCTGACATTCAAACCAACCATCGGAACATGAAAGAAAGATGATTTACGTGATTTATCAGCTGGTCTTATCATTTCGGAAACTGCTGATCTACTGGGATTTTCCCACCACAGCTAGGGTTTACAGAGAATGATCCGCAAAAAAGAAAATATTCAGTAAGAGGTGATGGAAAAATGGTCAGACTGCTTCCAGCTGGTAGGAAGGCAACAGCATCCTAAATAAGTACTTGTTACAATCAAGGTATCCAAAAAAATATCAGTGATTGCACACCTAGTGCCATTCCTGTCAGTAAGTCTACAAGTCATGTGGACTTACCAAAGTTGGACAACAAAAGACTGGAAAAATATTTCCTGGTCTTTCTTCCTTTATATTCAGATAGTAGTGTCATAATTTGGCACCAGTAACATGAAAGCATTGGTCCATTGTGCCTTGTATCAACAGGTGGTGTAATAGCATAAGAGATGGGTCTTGTGATACTCTGGGCCTGTCAGTACCAAATCAGCATCTTTTAATCAGCACAGGTTCAATGTTTTTTGTGACATTCAGATGGTAGGGTCAGAATCAGAGCATTGTGTCAGCGGTTAAGGCTGCTGGTGGTGTAATGGTGTAGGGGACATTTTCTTGGGACACTCAGGACTAACTAAGCATTATTTAGATGCCACAACCTACCTAAGTACTGTTGTTGACCATATTCAGCCTTCACAGCGTACTTCTGATGGTTGCTTTCGGGACAATAACATGCCATGTCACAAAGCTCAAATCATCTCAAACTGTTATGTTGCAAATGACAATGAATTCACTGTAGTCAAACGGCCTCCACGGTCACCTGATCCTAATCTGATAGTCTTTGAGAGCGGAATGGGAGATTCGCATTGTGGATGTGCAACAAACAGATCTGCAGCAACTGCATGATGCTATCATGTCAGCTTGGACCAAAATCTTCCAGGACCTTAATGAAGATATGCCATGAATAATAAAACAGCTCGGAAGGCAAAAGGGACTCCAACCCAGTATTAGCAAACTGTGCCTAATAAAGTGTCAGTTTTTATTGCAAATGTTGTTCATGCAAATGAAAAGCTAAAAAAGATCCTGGCCTTTTTAATTTTTCTATATGCATATTTTTTCATGTATTTTTTGGAAACCTCTAAAACATACACTTTATACACCAAATTAAAGCAAAATCCAAACTACCTACTACATTAAATGTGAGATTCATATTATCCAATTAAATGACTGATCAGGATAAATCCTTTTAACAAGGAACTGAACAGCTACTCTTCATTCTTTAACCCTTGTGTGGTGTTCGTATTTTTGTTACTCAGCCAGTGTTCATGGGTCTGGTGGACCCGCTAGAGTTTTGGCTTTCCAAATTAACACTATCAAACAATTTTATGTTAAATTACTCAACAGATGTTTACTTCATCCCAATTACAAGACATATGAACAGCAAACATGGTTAATTTTTTCCCTTTACCTTTGTTAGATCACATTTATGAATTAATGTGCTTCTCGTTTTTCTTTTATATAAAATGTTATAAATAAATCAGTTATAATCAAGTGGAGTGAGTGGAAAGACACAACACATTTACACGTGAAAAAATAATTAATTGTTTAATTTTTCTTTTGAAAAAAACTGAACACGGGTCTCACAGACCCGAACACCATACAAGGGTTAATTCTAGCAGTTGGATCATTTAAGAAAGGCATTATTGATGTTATTCAATAATCATATTGCTGGTGCATACAGTCTTTAAATAAACAACACTTGCTAGCGTCGCTATAGAAAATAAGTCTTGTGTTTATGAGAAAAAAGCCAATACCCTTTATTAGGTGTCTGTCTAAGAAGATAATTCAGTATTGAGTGTAAAATCTACAGCCTTGTACAAAATGGCTTAGAGCCAGGGTAGGAAGTGGAAAATGTTACATGGTGCTATTTTTCCAAGGCCAAGTTGTTAATGGCTCAGAAAACACAGCACATTTTGGACACCTAGCTTTGAACCTACCAGTATTCGTCCCCTCCAGCCATGCACTTCTCATACACAGGTCCCTCCAGTTCTCGCTGGGTTGGAAAGATGACCTCATGGTGGATGATGATTGTCTTAATGATCTCATTAACATGTGCTTGGCAGGCCACAGGATCTTGGTCATCTGGTATGGGCATCAGTGTGGGGCCAAAGCAAATAGCGAGATTGTAGGGGTCCATCATGTTCTCATCGCTGTACTGGGAAAGACTGTGGAAAACAGAACCAGTAAGTATCATTATTTTAATTTTGCACACCGGAAAATTTGTAGTGACGAGACTTACTGGTTTAGAAATGCAAACAGGTATCTCATGACGATGATCACAGGCCGCGGAAGAGTCACGATTATCTGCTGAAGGTGATGAGCTCTTTCTGCACCAGAGTCAAGCTCTAAAAGTAATAAACAACAACAATCACAGAGTGCTACACTAAATAAAACATATTCCACATGTTTTCCTGGAATGTTACTCACTGGTAGTGGATATGAGGTCGGCGAAACGCTCTTTAGGGAACAGGGGGTTTTCCAACCCCCGGAAGTAAAGCTTAAGAACTCCCGCCACAGAGTTAATATCATGATCTGTCTGATCATCCATCAGTGGATCTTCTCCTGTAGATGTAGCATATTTTCAGTCTACTCAGTATTCATCCATTGCACTCACTTTCATGTAAGATAGCAGTGATTCTTAATATACATTTCAAATTCGGAAGTTAATGTATGCATTAAGAGTGCAGTTATGTTTGCTCATTTAGGATGCTGATCTCATGTATTATGCATTAAATGGTTTACATGTCCATTACAGGGTTACATATGGCACACAGGCTCTTTATTTGCACTTTAGAGTCCTGTGAGAGTAACTGCGGTTTCTGAGGTGGGCAAAACGAAATTTAAAATCAATCAAGAGTAGATGGCTAAGTGACCTGGGACTAACCTCTTTCAAATGCATTTTTAATATCATTGACTTCGACCTGGGATCCTGGAACTCGAAATATACCTTGCTGCTGAAGACCTGTGGACATATAAAGCTGTTAGTCTAAAATGGAAAAAAAGGTATTAATATAAATGGCACACCCCCTTAAAAATAAACCAGATTTATTTCTGTTGAATGTCTCAGTAAAGGAGTTTCTTCTGTTTTTTGTATCTAAGTATAAAAACAAGCTTAAAGATAGGAGACTTCAAACATATTAAAAAAAACAAAGGAAAGGGAAGGGTGTCTGAGGGCGAGCGTCTGGTGGCCGGGCCTTAGTCCATGGAGCCCGGCCGGGCACAGCCTGAAAAAGGGCCATGGGCCCATCTTCCTGCAGGCCCACCACCCGCAGGAGGCACCGTAGGGGTCGGGTGCAATGTGAGTCAGGCGGCGGCCAGGAGCGGAGGCCCTGGCAGACCGATCCCCGGCTAACAAGACTGGCAATTGGGACATGGAATGTCACCTCTCTGGTGGGGAGGGAGCCTGAGCTAGTGCGTGAGGTTGAGAGGTACCGGCTAGATATAGTCGGGCTCACCCCTTCGCCTTTCAGGCCAGGTCCTGACTGTCGTCTGTGCTTATGCGCTGAGCAGCAGTTCAGAGTACCCAGCCTTCTTGGAGTCCCTGAGTGGGGCACTGGCGGGTGCTCCTCCTGGGGACTGTTGTCCTACTGGGAGACTTCAATGCTCACATGGGCAATGACAGTGAGACCTGGAAGGGCGTGATTGGGAGGAATGGCCTCCCGGATCTGAACCCGAGCGGTGTTTTGTTATTGCACTTCCATGCAAACCACAGTTTGGCCATAATGAACACCATGTTCGAACATAAGAGTATCCATAAGTGCACGTGGCACCAGGACACTAGGCCATAGGTGTCAAACTCTGGCCCGTGGGCCAAATTTGGCCCGCAGCCTAATTACATTTGGCCCGCAAAGCCATACCAAATTACTATTAGAGCAGGCCTACTGGTATTATACAGCTAATATATATATTGTTTAGTATTAAGCTTTGCTTGTTCCATATTCAGTTTTCCAGCAAAACTTATCTGAGTCCATAAGAAAAGATTCATTCTTATATCTGGAGGAAGATTTTTTTTTCAATAAATATTCATGTTAGCCCGCGACTTTGTTCCAGTTTTGAATTTTGGCCCACTGCATATTTGAGTTTGACACCCCTGCTCTAGGCCACAGGTCGATGTGGTATGTAATCGTATCACCAGACCTGAGGCCATATGTTTTGGACACTCGGGTAAAGGGAGGGGCTGAGCTGTCAACTGATCACCACCTGGTGGTGAGTTGGATCAGGTGGCGAAGGAGGACGCTGGACAGCGAGGGTGTGCTGGGAACGTCTAGCAGAGGCCCCAGTCTGCAAGATCTTCAACGCACACCTCTGGCAGAGCTTCAACAGCATTCCGAGGGAGACTGGGGACATTGAGTCCAAATGGACCATGTTCAGCACCTCCATTGCCGAAGCCACTGCATGGAGCTGCGGCTACAGGGTAGTTGGTGCCTGCCATGGTGGTAACCCCCGAACCAAATGGTGGACACCTGAGGGGAGGGGAGCCACCAAGCTTAAGAAGGAGTCCTACCGGGCTTGGTTAGCTTGTGGGACTCCAGAGGTGCTGTTGACTTTGACAGAGAAAATCATCAGGCGGTGGAAGGAATACTTTGAGGACCTCCTCAATCCCACTGGCACATCTTCCGTGGTGGAAGTAGAGTCCGGGGACGAAGGGGATGACCCGTCAATCTCTGGGGACGAGGTTACTGAGGCAGTTAAACAACTCCTTGGTGGCAGAGCCTCGTCCACCCCAAGTTCCTGAAGGCTCTGGATGTTTTAAGGCTGTCTTGGTTGACACGTCTCTGCAATGTTGCGTGGGGATCGGGGGCAGTACCCCTGGACTGGCAGACCGAGGTGGTGGTCCCCATCTTTAAGAAAGTGGACCAGAGGGTGTGTTCCAACTACAGGGGAATCACACTCCTCAGCCTCCCTGGGAAAGTCTATGTCAGGGTGCTGGAGAGGAGAGTTTGAACCTCGGATACAGGAGGAACAATGCGGTTTTTGTCTTGGCCGTGGAACACTGGACCAGCTCTTTATCCTCTTGAGGATACTCGAGGGAACATGGGAGTTTGCCCTACCAGTCTACATGTGCTTTGTGGACTTGGAGAAGACAATCGACCGTGTCCCTCGGGGGTCCTCTGGGGGATGCTCCGGGAGTATGGGGTGTCTGGACCATTGTTACGGGCCATTCAGTCCTTATATGACCGTTGCAAGAGCTTGGTCCGCATTGCCGGCAATAAGTCGGACTCGTTCCTGGTGGGTGATGGGCTCTGCCAGGGCTACCCTTTGTCACTGATTCTGTTCATAATTTTTATGGACAGAATTTCTAGGCGTGGCCAAGTGGCGGAAGGCTTTCACTTTGGTGGTCTCAGGATCTCATCTCTGCTTTTCGCAGATGATGTGGCCCTGCTGGTTTCGTCAGGTGATGGCCTCCAGCTCACCTTGAAATGGTTCCCAGCCGAGTGTGAAGCAGTGGGAATGAGAATCAGCACCTCCAAATCTGAGGCCATGGTCCTCAGTTGGAAAAGGATGGAGTGCCCACTCCGGGTTGGGGACACCCTCTGAAGGGTGGCTGGCCTCTCCCTTAGAGATAGAGTCAGAAGTTCGGCCATTCGGGAGGGGCTCAAAGTAGAGCCGCTGCTCCTCCGCATTGAAAGGAGCCAGTTGAGGTGGTTCGGGCATCTGACAAGGATGCCCCCTGTGCGCCTCCTGGGCGAGGTTTTCCGGGCATGTCTCACCAGGAGGATGCCCTGGGACACGCTGGAGAGATTATATCTTCTCTGCTTGGGCTGCTGCCCCTGCGACCCGGCCCCGGATAAGCGGAAGAAAATGGATGGATGAATGTGGCAATAAGACTATAAACACCTTAATTCAAAAATTGAGGGGTGGGGCCAAAGCTTCTGCTTTTTCAGTCATAACTGGTGGAAATCAAAATTACATTGTTTTTCTTATTATAACAATCTTCACAAGACAGACGTTACTATTAGTTAGTAAGAGATTCATTAGCATCTCTTGGACAGTAGAAGTCCTGTTTATCACTTACACCCCATCTTCTTTCTTATATATAAGGATTAATGTAAGCTGAGCATCATGAATATTAGAATGCAACCCATTTTGAGAAATGAATGAATCATAGAAATTAATATTTCACCTCACTCTCTCATCCAGGCTTGTACATATGAAATGCTCCAGTTTAAGATTTTCCAAACGATCCAGTTGGAGCAGTTATATTATCTCACATTGAATGCTATTTCACTGCTAATAACTTCTAAAATACCAAAAATATTTGAATGGCTACTATTAACAATATTAAGGTTGTATATACATATCATTCAGTTTTATTTTATTTATATAGGACCGAATCCCAACAACAGTCACACCAGGGCACTTTATATTAGGTAAAGACCCTACAATAACAGAGAGAAAACCCTAACAATCAGATTGTATAAAATTATATGTTTTGTTGTGTTTTGATTATACAGACTGAAAACTACATGTAAGCAAGAAAATGAAAAGGGAAACTCTGTCTGCTCTGTCTACTTGCTGTAATGAATAACTGTCTGTCTGTTGGTCTGTTAGCACTCTATTGCAGTTTTTAACCCTTTCATGCATGAATTATGACAACCTCAATCAGGATTTTTTACATTTTTATTCATCTTTAGGCATGAAAAAAAGATTTTTGAACTTAATTTTTTTACACATGTATTTTTAAAAGTTTTTTTTTTCATGTCCACTTAGGTGGACAACATACGTTTTTGGCTTATGAAGTTGACAAACGAATAAATAATATACACTGTGTGTTGTGATCATGTGCAAGTATACCATCAACCCTGACACACATACAGGAAAACAGCCTTTGAATATCTCTCCACTGTAGTGACCACTATACGTGAAAGGGTTAAGATATAATTTTCAAATTTTGTGTGATGATAGACACCAATAAAAGCTCGAGTTGATTAATTTAGGTGAAAACTTTATATTGAGAGTCTGGAGAGACATAAGCGCTCTTATTGTCGTCGTTTCTATCTAAAATTGCAGGGTCTCTACTTTGCAATATAAGAATCCTTAATGCAGAATCCGATGCATTTTTGTTTTGTTAAATTTGAATTTGTTGAATTTTGTTGTAAATTTGCACTACACAAATAAAACATCAGCCTTTGTGGAAAGATAACTTATGAATAGAACTGGAACATACCATACAGGTTGATGTATCGAATACAGCTCTCAACCACCGCTGGTATAGGCTGGCCTGAATCCTATAGACACAATCAAATTATTACTAGAGAAACCACTAAATCAGAAATTAATAACCATAAGAAACAGTCACACTAGCAAGCCATTATGATGAGAAGGCTGAGATGATATCATTTATCACTTAACGTTAACTTTCTGAGTCACAATATGCAAAACAAAAATAAATTAGTGCACCACGATAACAGTATTTTCACAGGAATCCCAATGGGACAGAGGCACAGAAATGTTGGTTAGCATACTAAATACAGTGTAATGATCCCACCCAGCTATAAGACAGAGTACCTGACTCCTCGCACGGACATTCCGTCTTCCCCTGGGCAGAGAGCAGTAAGGCACGTAGACAGAGGAAGAGAAGCAACAACAACCACAACAGGTTAGTGAGAGAGACAGATCTTACAAAGAGAGACAGACAGACAGACAGAGAGAGAGAGAGAGAGAGAGAGAGAGAGAGAGAGAGAGAGAGAGAGAAGGACGAGGCATGGCCTGAGAAAAGCATCAGTGCCATGTGGCGTGTGAGACATGAGGGCATGGTTTGGGGGGGAGTGGGAGGGAAGGGCCTACTTCAGAGCATGGTGGGTGGGGGGAAGACACATATTTTTCCAGCCAAAAACAGCTTCTTGACTTGGAGGGAAATTAGAATCGATTTATCAGTCGATCTGCTAATTACGACATCTCCTCAACTAACTGATTCTTTATTTGTTCTGTGAGAAAAAAGCCCATTGAAGAACTACTAAGATATAAATAATGATAATAAAACATACAACACTATACAAAAAAATCAATAAAGCAAAAAAAAAAATTTTTTTTCCTTTTGTTTTTTTGTCAGTTGATTGATTGGTTAATCGTTTTATCTCTGTACTTTTGTCGATGCATGCCCTGCTTGTCTGCTGAGTTTGATTAGCATTAGAGTGGAAGTGGCCATCTGTTTATTTGCATAGCTGCTGTGTGGCCAACTGACATACAGCCAAATTAATTCAGTGTACGGAGGCTGGGGGCTCACAAGAACAAACCTTATACTGGTGCTTTTGAAAATACACCATCTTCACATCAAGCTGCTGGACCAGCTTTCACCTTATCTAGTGTTTTCGTCAAATGTGAAGACAAGCATTGAGCAAGAGGAAAGTCAGTGCATGAGTGAGGCAATGTTTGGATAAAAGAGTGGTCACAGGCAAGAGAACCCCCAAGGACTGCTAGCGAGAAAGCTGAGCTCATGAGAGACAGAGGGCACAGATGGGCTTATACCTGAATGAAGGCCTCCATATTGCCGTTAAACAGCCTAGGGTTAAAAATGGAGCGAGGTCTACACTTCCGCATTCTCTGGGGTTTAGGGGGAAGAGTTGGGGGCCTGGGGAGATGGTGGGGTTTGTAGGGTTGGTACAATGCAAACATGAAAAATAATGCAATATGCAACAGTAAAACTGATTTTGCTTAAGATGTTTTTCTTTTCAGATCTTTACCAAAACAATAGGCTGCTCCAAATCATAAAGAATATGGTAGTCATATATTGACCGTTTCTGAGATAGGCTACAGTCATTTGCTTTCTTGCTGAGAGCTAGATGAGACAGCCGATACTCTTTTCATATCTTCATGATAAATATGAAGAGACAGAGTGCAATTAGTCAAACTCTCGCTCAGACAGGAAGGGAAAATAATTCATGGCTCTCCATTAATTTTGAATAGCATAAAGTTGTATCCGTTACAGTTCTGTCACCTGTCAAAAAACTACAAACCTGATATGACAGAGATAAAGAAGAAAAGATAAAGATGGGCAACTTAACAAAAAAACAAATTAATAGAGAATGTGAAATATGTCAGTTTTAGGCGTTTTGGGTAAATTAAGCGAAAAACCTGCTACATCCATTATTAATACTTTCTATAGACAGTACAAAGTACTGCACTACAAAGTACAGTGGAATATGTTTCATTTAGTGGGCAATCAATAAGTGAGTGTATAATGTATTACGCTGTCTCTATAAAGCCATAATCATATTATCTAGCTTAGCACAATGTTTTAAAACCAAAAATAAATAAATAAGTACCTTGAAATTGCTTAGCTAGTGGCTTTAAATGTATAATATTTTGTGTTGCTTATTATCTAAAATCCAAATTATACAAATGATACATTGTGCTTGCACTAGCTATTTGCTACTAAATGCTGACTTAAATTAGCAAACCCTTTGCTGTAGCCTCAATCTGAGCATACAATCATCTGAGTGGGACCAACACACCATCAGGATGAACAGAATCAGCTTTCTGGCATCAACTTTCTCATTTAACACTTGGCAAGAAAGCAAATTTGTGTATTAACCTAAAAGTAAAAATAATACAAGGATGGAGCTCCTGTGACTTTCTCAAAGTAATAATGACTGAAAGGTAATACATCACAAAATACTCAATACAGATATAATTAAATATAAAATTTAATTGATCAAAATAAAAGTCAAGCATTTGTATTTGTCACACGCCCTTCTTGTCAATATTTTTTAATTTTCTCCTCATTTAATTGTTTTTATTAATCAAATCATTATCCATCTCACTGGCATTTCAGTCCCTAGTCTTAAGATATATCTATAGATAAAAGCATCTCTAATTTGGATCCAAACCATTCAACATGGTGAGGTAACGATATTCCTACACTGTGACTTTATTTGTGCCATATCCAAGGACACAGGAAGGATTTTACACATCATTGCCAACTTTATTCACCCTCTTGTCACTGAAAACCTTACCTCGTTGTTCCATATTCAGCCCTCTCCCCTAAAAGGAATAAGCACACACAGAGAGAGGCTAAATTAGAACACACTAGTTTTACAATCACAGAAGTTAGCAGCACGGTTGAGTGCTGGCTGACTATACATGGCTGGCAGATGGAGAAGGAAAGGGGTGTTATGAGAAAACGGGCATCTATTCAGTCAGGCTGAATGGGGTGAACGCCATGGTTGAATCTGACTCACCGCCAGGCAGTGGTCATTCAACGGTCGCCCTAGAAACAGCACAAGAGCCCCAGAAGGGGACTAGGCTGCAGACTAGCTCTGTGAAAGTGAAAATGTATCCAGAGGCAACAAGAGTGGGAGCTGATTTGTACAGTATTATGATTTCATGATATGTGCACCACATTAGCACACTCACACGCACGTTTCAGTATAGCAAACAAATTAAGGCCTCGCTTTGATCAGTCAGTCAGAAATGTTTGTTCAAGGATCATGTCATGTGTAAAGCAGCTTCCAGCACAATCCTTCTTTATGTCAAACACATAATTCCAACCTTAAAGCATACGCTAGCAAGAGTCTGATGATCACCATGACATCATGACATCAAATATACTTTTCTTCGCTCTTCTGGATGAGTTTAACACATATTTAATATCATGAATATGTAAGGAAAGCATGGGAAGAAATATCCTTTCAATGCTATACTAGTAATCCATGGTTTGAGATGACCTGCTTTTAGATCGTGCAGTTTTCAGGATGCCATGAGAACTACAACTTTACTGCATAATATCATTTATAATAATATAAGTAATATAATAAGTAATATAATTTGGTGTTTTGTTTTGATCAATATTTAATTATCTGATTTCTAAAAGAATCTGTGTACAGCAGACACAACTGTGATATATGGGAGTCTGAAAACTTTTAATATTCCCAACAAAACAAAATTATTTAACACATGTTTGTGATTCCAAAGTAACAACATTGTGACATTAAAAGACACAGACCCTTACTGACCCTTTGGCTTCATTATTTTAACAGCTCTCGGGTCTTAAATTTGTATAACAGTGCTTGTTATCATGGACTGCAGGGTTTTTGTTCTCTTAATATAGCTCTGAATGATATAATTTTGTATTGTATTTTCTAAAAGCATGGGGTAGGCTACATACAAACTGAAGATATTATGTTTTTTTAAAAATTACTTCCTTTGGCTAAATTGGCTATATAGTGTTGTTACATATTTGCCTAACAAGTGAAAGAGCTCTGGTTCAATCCCAGAAGGAGACACAAATTCCTTTGGGGTTGCATCAGGATGGGCATCTGGTGTAAAAAATGTGCCAAATCAAACATGCAGAGTTACTGTACCTGCTATGGTGACATCTTGTAAATAAGGGAGCTGCTGAAAGTAGCTCTACTTCCTTTGGATAAAAACAGCTATAATAGATTTTCTATATGTGCTTCTATATATCAAGGTACTAATATACTCTAGAGATACTTGCTTTCTTGGCAGTTACTTTAATATAGAACTTTCTACACCGCTAAACACAGTGCGACAACATTTTAATAAGTCTCACCTTCTCCTAGCGTCTGCTTCAGAAGGTCATGCTTAGCCTGCAGTTTGACAATGAGATTGCTGCCATTCAAGTACTCCTTGTATTTCTATTGATAAGAAAGACAAAAAGACAATTAGTGCTATTTCTAGACATTCTTTGTGTTGTACTGTGCACATTTACACCACGCTGCAATTTCTTTGTTCATTTGTCCGACTACTCACAGTAAAGTAGAAGCCCTCAGTCTCTTGTTGATTGGCTCGTCTTTTGGCGATGTTTGCCTTGCTCATGTAAGAGTCAGATGAGGCTGATTTCACAGACTCTGTGGATTGGCTGTGCTGGAAAGCCTCTGAAACATCAAAGTCCTCCACAGTAAGCATATCATGGAGGGTCTGCAAGGTGGCGTCAAGAGTCTTCCTCACCTGAAATAAATATAGATGTAAACTTTAGTTGTCATTTCAGCATTAATCACAACATGAATATATTTGTTTAAATACAATTATATTAAAAAAAGATAGCAAACTGGTCATTTGTACACATAAAATAATAAAAGAATATTTGTACCACTGGGCATATTTTCATTAGTCTTCTCAGTGTCTCGAACAAACTGTGGTGTAAACACGGCAGCTCAGATTATACTGCTGCAGGCTATTTGCACCGTAGTTAGACTGACAGAGTGAACAATAGAGTAATTAGCTTGCTAGCTTGATGCATCACGACATGAAAGATTAACTATGTGCCTTCCATGTGAGGCAGACAGGAAGGGACCGTGGATTTCCTTATTCATGACAGACAGCCACTGACACATACACACACCCTGGTGACCTTTAAACATGTCTGTGTGAGTCACAGTGGCCTTGGTGACCATGCTGGGGGTGGCCCCCATTGGAAGCAGGAGACTGGATGAGATACGACCCCACATATCAGTGTCAGATTTAATGAATGAATATGAATGCATAGTGACAGCTCTGGAGAGTGGCTGGCTGTTGTTACATGTTTGTAGTGGAGGGTGTTGGTGGCCCGCATTATTAAACACAACACAGTAAATGAAGGTATGAAAGTGCCTCCTGTGCCATGATGATGAGTGATAGACTAATCGGAGGGATGGGTTCTGTTTTTCCTAAAGGAATAGTTTTGTGAAAAATTATTTTGTTTGCTAAAAAAGATGAATGAAAACACAGATATATTACTTTCATGCCTGCTATGCAGATTTTATGGATTGGGCATCATTGACCACTTGCAAAAAACAGTATTGGTATTTCTTTCTCTACAACTTTTAGTTTCACCTTACCCTTCTCTGTCCCAGCACCAACATTTACCAGCTACACTTCTGTAAATGGTTTCTTTTTAATGTGCCTAGAATTCTAAAAGGCTGGGGAAAAAAGCTTTTTCTTACTATTCACTTGGACATGGAATAATTTACAGAAAGATCAGACAAGGTCTCCCTTGGAAAAGAGATTTGATCTAAATGGGGTTTTCCTGGTTGAATAAAGGTAAAAGAAACAATAATAAGAGATCGATTTCAGTGATTTCAGTATTCAGTGGATGATAGTGATCAAAGCTAGCTAAACTAAGCTAACTACCTAATGACTGATTAGTAGCTGGTTAGCTTATAGCTTCAGATGTAAGGGAAAGTGTGAGAGTGTTTGCAAAAATTATGAAGTATAAAACTAAATGTAACACATCAATCTAACGGCAATAAAGACTCTTTCTCAAGGACTCTGGTGTCTTAGCGTGTTGTTTTAAAGACTCTTGCATTTAGAGCAGCAGATATGTGTTTTTTTCCCTGTTCTTCTACATTTAGTCGATGGTTTGAATGATAACAACTTCACTTCCTTGCACAGTATTTTGCATTAATACACTGATGGTGCAACCTCTATATTCAAACTCAGCAACTCAGACTACTATGTTAACAGCTTCCCCTATGAGACCCTATACAGGATTCAGGATCTAACTTCACTATCACTGATAATCACTTGCATACATTTCTTATTTGTCTTTATGTACACCTTTGTACATAAAGACTCTTTCTCAAAAGACTCTGGTATCTGTGTAACATTATCTCAATGAAACATCAGGATATACTACAGGAAAATATTGACCTTAGAGAATAGAGAAAAGAATACAGATGCTGCTTCACATATCAAAGGCCAAATATGAACTGAGCGTGAGTATGGATAAGGCCATCTAAAACGTATACCTAAGCACATCAGTGAGCTTGTTTTGCTTTAAAATGAGCTGCTCACCTCTTCATTTTCTATTTTTAGTGTGGCCAGACGTGATTGCAGCTGGTGGTAGCGCATCAAGAGTTCTGTCTGGACAGGCTGCTGTGCACTCACTTGACACACCTGGGATTAAGAAATAAAGGGATATTTCCGAAAGTGACTTAACACAGTGCAAAATAAACATAGCAAGAATAAAGACCTTCAAAGAAAGCCTTTTTAAATCATTACCCTCCCTGTTGACTCACCTCATCTCCCATGTGTGGCTGATAGTCAAAGCATGCAGGAGGACAGAAGATCTGGCAATGTGTGTCCATAAACTTCAGCTTGTCTCCTCTGGTGTCCATGGCATCCACTGCTCCCTCCAATAAGTCCAACCCTTCGTGCCGAGAAGTTTCTAGACTATATTCTGCAGAAAGGTAGGTTCTCAAGGTGCGTGCTAAGCTTGCATGGTACCCTAAGTCGCAACACTGGGGACAAAAAAACAAACCATAGTAATTACAGATCCAAAAACAAACTTAACCTGAATAAAAATGCACTCTGACAAAAAGAGAGTATTTCCATTTCCATCCATATTTCCATTCTTGGCTCTGACTTACATCTATCATGTCTGAGACATCGTGGATGTAGTATTTGGCCACCAGGGCATTAGTAGCTGCCAGATTGAGAAGATAGTCATTCCGGGCCTTTGTGCATTTCATCTTGTTTTCAGAGTACTTGGCTTGTCTCTGGGGGTGTAAAAGGAAGAGCGAGAGTCCCATCAAGGGAGGAAGCAAAATGGTTTCCTAATGTACTCTAAGAATGCATTATACATTAAACAGTTGTATCTTCTCTATAATCTGTCAGTGTGCATGTATAAAATAGTTGGATTTACTTGGACACTTCAATTACAAATGCATTTACAGCTTGTTTGCAGTCAAATAGATAGAGTGCATTGGGAGTAATGTACATGACATAAATCCTCATCATACATGGGCTAAAAACAGACCTTCTCCTTCAGTTTCTCCATCTTCTTTACAGAACTTCGACGCTGTGGACGATCATCGTAGCCATAACGCAGGCCAATGTCATTAGCCTTGCCAATGTGCTTCTCCTCCTGCTTTTCTGCCTCCTTCAGTTTGCTCTCAGCACTGAGACTCTCAGTGTGGTACATGTGGTATGTCTTCATCACCTGCAAGAATACACAGCAAGTATAAAGGACATCACAGTTAAACGAGCAAGGAAGCTGATAAGTATGATGAAGAAAAGCAATATCCTCAAATTTTGGTACAGGATCCTTGTTGATCATCAGATTATTTTACTTTGTAACCTAAAGATTCTGCAACCTTACAGAAAAAAACTCAAAGATCCGACAGTACGTAGAAAAAACTTCAGTCTGAACCAGGCTAAGTTAAGGAGAAAGAAATAAGAGAAAGAAAAACCGTAGGGAGACACCCTGTGGTTTGTTCTTTAGGACAAAGAATCAACTACAGGACTGAAAACACACTAAGTGGCCAGCAAAAACGGGCCAAAACACCACGTAATCTGAATTTTAAAATCCAATGAGAATGACAAATGTGACTTTGAACTTGACCTTCAACACAAATTTGATGGAGACCTGTGAGATGATCACTGTGTGCAGGCTCCACTAAAATATGACCAATATTCTGTAGTTAGGAGGAAGAAAGATTCTTGTGAATTATTAACGGACAGACAGAAGAGAGACGCCTCGCCACGGCATGAGGTCATTAGATTATGCTAAATAAACTAAGAATTGTCAGTATTCTCTTTTTTATGAACCTTTCTTATTAATTTTATAACCAGATCATCATGACTTAATAAACACAGCAGCTGCTTAGAAAGATACCAATAAGACGCCGGAGTACTTTTGTTCATCACACAAGTAAACATTAGTGAGTGTAGCATACTCATCATTCTCATGGGACTGTCATATTTTCATTGACATTTTCTAACTCAGCTGGAGTGTCCAGTACGTTTGTCTGATGTCTCCACACTGTCTGAATAGCCTAACCACAGAATAGCAAGACAAATTAAATATCCCAGCAAAGTAAAGTAAGACAGTCGTGGTACTTTTACAAAAACAATCTCTGTTTTCGGATAAATGTTTCATGGTTTTATCAAAAAAGCCACATGTAAATGTTTAACTAGTAAACCTGAATCAACAGCACAGTCGCACAACATCTGCTTCACCATCACTGATTCTCAAGTTCTGGTTTCCTAGCAACCCCGTCTGCAACGGACGTGCAAAGGACATTGAGATCGATCAGCAGGGGAGGAAGGAGGTTACAAAGTGACAGTGAGCAACCTCCTCTGCTACAGATGAAACGAAAAACTCCTCAATTTTTGCAAAAACTCAGCAGCTGACCAAAACCAGGGACCTGCTGCCTGACAACATTTGCTTATTTAAAATGCAAATGATAAAATAACCACACAATGATTATATTTTCTCTTAAACTCTACACTTTTCTCAATTATAAAGTTGAGCAGACTCCTGCTATTCCTTATGCTGTGTGTGGGAGCTGCAGACAGGCATTTAATAATGCATGAATCAGAGGGAGGAAAAATCAATATCAGTATAGCAGTAATATAACATGCACGGTACAATGTTACATGTGAGAACTATTCTCATGTGGTTTATACGATTTCAGTAATCCAGATTCAAATCCATTTGTGATGTGCTGCATACACATCATTTTGCAATGTGCACATGTGCTTAGCTTTCTTACTAGGTCATTTTTTTTCCTTTTGCCACCAACTCTTTTTTTTAATTTAGTAATTTTGTAAATTACTAACAATTTGCGAAACTAACTGTAAAAAAAAAATAATCCACAATTGACCTACTTTCTGCTCATCTTCGCTTTTTGCTCCTTTATCATAAATGAATCAAATCACAGGGTTGTCAAACTTTGCTGCAATTATGTTTAGCCAGTTTTACAGGACCACGATAAAGGATTAATCACCTGCACAATTAAGCTGACAACAACTAGGATGTCAAGAGAAAGGATTGAACGTGCAAGCAGCCAAGAGTGGAGTTTTATACATCCTGCAAAAGAAATGACGCTCGGTCATGAAATAAATCAAATTTACAGTGAAAAGTAGTGCAAATCTATAAGAGCATGTTGTTGTTTCTCATCTTATTTGCAATGGAATGTTTTAAGACCTTTAAAACACAATTTGGTGACTGCTCTGTTTAATCACTGAAATGAAAAACAATGAATTGTGGATGTGACGAGGGAAAAAATAATCCACGAGGGTATTCTGTTTCACAGCATGCTATTGTCCTGCTTGCCAAAATACACTTTCATCGTAGTCTTAATTACATCTAGTCTGTTTATGCTTGTAAATTGTTTTTTCGTTTATGCTATGAATCATATTAGCCATTGAGCAGTAAGTAAAGATAAGGATATCACCGAGCAATTAGAGCCAGAAGAATGCATTCTGGCGAGTCTGCTGTACTGTCCCACATGCAGCCAGTGATACGCCTCAGTTCCTTTTCTTTTGCCAAATGAAGATGCAGTGCAGATAAACGCAGATGTTTTGTGTCTGCACCACTGCACAAACCTTTGCTGTGTGTTTACTAGTATGCATATGCACACATTTCTATATGCAGTATGTGGTTATAACAGTCCAACGAGAGTGACAACTGTTAACATATGAGGCAAGCAGAGGTGTCAGATTACATGTAACATTAGCTGAAAACATTACAGAAGCTCATTTTGCTGTAAGCACAGTGCACCTCTGTAGCACAGACTGCTGAGTCTGCTTGAAGCACAGCTAGGAGCACGAACACTGTCTCCTTCAACTCATGTAGCAATTCACAGCAGGAGGAAGAATGCAAATTTTATCCTTTCATGACCTCAGGAGAGGGAAGAGATGACCTGTTACAGGCTGCTCTGCTGAAAAGGCACATCTGCTCTGTGTGGTGTCAAACCCACAGGTTGCAGGTTTAGGTATTTAAAAAAAGCCTGGCTTTAAGATTGACATCCCATAGGCTTTCAACACAAGCAACAGCAACTCACCGTGTACAGTTCATTGGTGACTTTCACTAACTCTTCATGCATCTGTACGCCGATGTCTTTACTCTGTAAAAAAAGAAAAACAGGAGACAGCTTTGTAGAGGAAAATAATACCACATTTAAAGGACAAATGAAGACAAGTATTCAAACATCTAAGAACAAGAACTGGGTTAGTTAACAGAACTGCTTTCCCACATGTGAGACACTTGAAAGCTGTGTGCCAGTTTTATTTTGTATGTGATGGATGTCATCAGTATTGAAATGCTATCATTACGCTGCACCAGAAAAGATACAATGCCCAAAGTGCAAATGCAGACTAAAATAGAACAGCGCAGTAACTGCAGAGCATTTCCCATTGAGCGGAGTCGCAGTTTCCGTTTGGTTTTAAAGGATGAGAGCCTATGATGAATTGGACATGTCCCACAAAAGGGTTATAACCTAAGACGGGGAATGATGCCAGTGGAGAGTGAGCCTAGAAATCCGTTTGAGGTAATACGGAGTAATGCTCAGCTCAACCAATCCTGTTTTTGTTTTGTTTTTTGTCACCTCTCAGGGACTACTTTGTCAAAACAGCAACCTTGCAATTTCACATGTGACAGGCATTAGACTTTAGCACATTCAGTACATTTAGTCTTTGTTTAAAAAGATGCCAGAGTTGATTCATTTCCCTCCCCCCATGTGTCATTTATTAACATCAAGACTGCAGCTGAACCAGGATACTGGAGTATAACAGGATTATTGTTCAGAACTTTACCAGAATTTGAGCTAACATTTTGAAAAAGAAAAAAAAAAGATTTTCTGCAGGCAGTTAGTGTTTTTCCTAGCATGGGTTACAGGCCATCCCATTCTCATCAGGGCTCCCATCAAGATACTGCAGAGCCCCCTAGAAGGCATAAATTACTCTAAACTCCTGCTGCTGTCAAATGATATGATACTGATATAAAATCCCTAAGGTGGTTGGGGGTGCTTTTCCACATGTACTCTGCTACTCTCATGCAAAGCATATGTTATGTATACTCTTATATGTAACAGTATAAAGCATATATAGTATACTAAAGCATATATATAGTATATATAGTTTCAGACATATGTTTGAAAGACAAAATTTTGGATAAATGAAAGAAAGTTACAGTTGTGGTCAGAAGTTTACATAAAGTTAATATAGCATGAGTGTCAAGCTAAGTTTTGGCTTTAATGATTTCTTTGAACTGTTGTTTTTTCCAGGGTGGAATGATTGAACAGCATAAATCTTTACTGACTTTGGGTGGATGAGATTGAAATTATTTTTGAATATTCTCTAATCCTCCCAGGATTCATACACCCCCACTAATATTTGGTTAAATGTTCCTTATCAACTTGCACCTCAACCAGACACTTTTGCTAGCCATCCAGAAGCTTCTGGCACAATTTCGGCTGAATGTTTGATCGCTCTTCTTGGCAGAAGGTGGTAGAGTCCATTCAAATTAGTTGGTTTCCTGGCACCAACCCACAAATCATTTCACAAATTCTCAACGGGGTTGAGGTTGGGGCTTTGGGAAGACCATTCCAGAAGGTTAATGTTAGCCTCCTCTATCCTTTCTAAAAACCTGTCCTGATGTGTTCGGGATCATTGTCCTGATGGAACAACTGTGCCCAAGTTTCAACCATCTGATAGCTGTTGATTTTAGGTGAAGGTGAAGAATTTGTAGAGCTAGTCCTCCATTATTCTAAACATCGTGAGCAATGCACTAGTATCACTGTAGTACACTAAAGTACATTTACTTGGTTACACTAAAAGTAAGAGAAGACAAAGGAAATTTTTTTTGTTTGTTCCTTTGTTTTTTTTATGGGCTATAATGCAGTGGTTTTACTGATCAAACCATTCGAGATCAAAATGGGAAATACCTGACCCGTACACTAAAATGAGTTTGACATCCCTAACTGATATTTTCATGCCCTTCCCCTAATTAGATTTTTTTATATATTTTTTATATATTAATTATATTTTTACATATTACCTGTCATGACATTTGAGCAGATGAAATGTGTGTGTTAGTTACTGTCAGGGGAGCATGACCTCATTCATTTAATTCTGATTCTGACCTTTTTGAAAAGTCTGATGACATCTTCACCCACGTGCGCCAAACGGACAATGACGTTGTTGTTGTAGATGTCGCTGAGTGTGGCGTGGTCTTTGCTCTCGCGTCGGGTTTGATCCAAGACCAAATACCAGCAGTTCACAGTGGAGAGGAGATTTTGATCTTTCCTGAAACAGCGAGAGAAATACTTTGTTAATGAATGAAAGGCCTTCAGGAAATGTAAACCAAATGGGATAAAGGCTAACAAGAAAACTAAAGAGGACACCTAAGAGAACGTGTATGTATGGTCACGACTTTCTTACACCACCCAACATTCATTTTAATCCTAGCTTATTTACTATTTGGTGCCGCCTGTGGGCTTCACATATCAGAGATCAAGTGGTCACAGCTCATGTGGGGGGAATCAGCAAGTAAAGGCAGCATACGCACTTGTTGACACACAAACTCAGAAGGCATGCTGGCTGCCTCCTTGCTTAAGAGGACATGTGAGTTTAATTATCATCACACCAAAGATTTAATGGAGGTATTTTTCTTCTCATTTTGTCTTTAGAGAACACTTTAGCATGACAGCATATACAAATGCTCTGTGACACTGCTGGATGCACACAGTAAAAATAAAACATTTTTTGCTATCAGCCAATAGCTGACCTGTGCTGCGAATCAGACAAAATTGAATTGTGAAAGGAGAACAGTGAATTTGGGATGAATTAATTTCACAGTTTGCATTTCTTTGGGGATGTGAAAAAGACAATCAGACCACAGAATTCTTTTTGCCACACAACCTGAGCAAAAGGAAGAGTTTGGACATTTGGGCTAAGATCACCATTTTCATAACTTCTAAAAAACACATTATCAACTAAGATGGAAAGCATTAGAAAACTCCCAGTAAATTTAATGTGAAAAGTTCATCTTAATTTAATGGGGAACCTAATGCGTCATGATTATACCAGCATGCCGCAAAGTGTGTCATTAGTAGAAACCAGCACTAAAACCCCAGGTAGCAAAATAAGTGCTTTAAACAACCATGTCTAATAAGATGATGACCTCAGTTTGTATCAGCAATATGCTGCACTAAAATCTACCCTTTGTAGAGTTATAAAGTCATGCTAGTTACAAGTTTTTATACCCCAAGTCAAGTTTTTTAAATAAGAAACCACTGACACGTCGCCCAAGACTGAGCACTGATAAGTTTACACAGTCATTTTAATTTATTCAAATGGGTTCCTGCCCAGTACTATTATTTATCAGTCAAACAGCAAGTTAAAAACCATCTCTCTTAAGACTCTAGCTTTTAAGTAGACTGCACAGAAACCACTCATGCTGAATAAGAGTCACAAATAGTGACTCAAAAAGTGCTAAACATACACATGTGAAAATGTACAGTCATATCGGATGTGTCACATATTCTCTTCGATCTCTTAGTGTTGCATTCTAGATCATTGCTCATTGCTTACTGCGATCACCAAGTAAAGTTAGAAGCCTTACATATCCTTCCATGGCTGAAATCCCATGGCAGTAACATATGCTCTTAATACTGTTTAGCTTCAAAAATATGACTTTTCTTAAAACACAATGTCTGGTTCAGTTGTCTGTGCAATTAGTTCCAGTAAATAACCTCAAATTACAGATGCTTTTCTTGCGGTGAACCCGCTGCACTTTTTCTGATCCACAACAGCTTCTTCGTTTTCAGTGTGAATCAAAAATACGGAAGTTATTTTTGACTCTAATATTGGTTTTGAAGATCACACTGAAAGAGTCGTCCTGACTTGTTTTCTCTCAACTGCTGCAAAACTTTGATCAGTTTCATCCGTGGAGAATTGTATTTATGCTTTCATTTTCTTTTTGAAGTGAATTATAGCTGTTTTTCTGCCTTGGCGAAGCTCACTCTAATCTTCAGCTAGCGCTCATTTCTGCACTATAACAAAGGAGAAGAAAGGCACTATAGGCCCTCTCCAGCTCCCTCAGTGCATCCAAAACAATGCTGAAATGTAATCTAAGACTGTTCAAAACCTTTTTTGTTGTGCTATTTTTTAAACTCCTAAGTTGTTTCAGTGGGAAAAAATTAACTCTGTCATGCACACGAACTGAACATGAACATGTTTCCATTGTCATTGTCTTTTTTTGTCCAAGGCATAAACACTGCATTGTTTCAGTCCCATTCATAATCAGTATTATACACTGACCGGCCATTTTATAAGGTACACCTTGCTAGTACTGTGTTGAATGTGTCTTTGTGTCTTCGTAACTTCCTCGATTCTTCAAGGCACAGATTCAACGTAGTGCTGGAAAAATTCCTCTGAAATCTTTGGTCCATATTGACATGATATGGAAGAGCGTGATGTCCTGGTGGAAGCAGCCATCAAAAAATGGTAAATGGACTGGTTGTTACATAGCGCTCTTCTACTCTGAACACTCAAGATGCTTTCCCCACCTGCCTCATTCACCCATTCACACAAGCACTTTTTTCTATGCAAGTTCTTCCTATGCACTGAAAAGCAACTTGGGGTTGGTATCTTGCCCAAGGATATTTGGCATGTAGACTGGAGCAGCCAGGGACCGATTAGTAGATGACCCGCACTTCCTCCTGAGCGACAGCATAAAGGGTGCTAAAGGGATATGCCAAAAACCTGACCCTACTATCCCAGTGCCAAAGCCACAATCAAGACTCACTGGTTCATTAGACCAGGCAAGGTTTCTAATCTTACAGTGCTGTGCCAATCTGCATTTATAGATATGCAGATATCTATAAATGCATTTACTGCATTGGCAGTGTTTTTGAGATCATTTTCATCCTGAAAAATGAAGGTGTTGGCACTTTCCAAAATCCGACTGTACATTTCTGCATTAATAATTCCATCAATATTAACAAGCTGAAATGCATGACAGAGTCCACCATGCTTTACTTGTGTTTTTGATGAATGTAGTCACTCACTGTTTACCTCTCCGCTGATCTCTTCTGTGCATACTTACTATGATTTGAACTACTATTCCATATGATCTGTTGCTACTGATTTTCAGTCCAGTACTTATGTAATTAGGCATATATCAGCTGCTCCTACCTGTTTCCCTTTCTTAAGAATGGCATCTTGACAGCCACAAATCCACTGAGAATATTTCTGATGAGGATTCAGTGAACACTAGATGTGTGGTTCTAAAGGTAATTTTGAGTACTGGTCATCAGCTTTTTCTTTTTGCTTTTCTTTTCATCCTGTAACTCTTTGAAAAGAACATGAACAAGCTATCCTTTCCCTATAGGCACTCCTTTCAAGCAGAGCAGTTGTTTGATCCAGGACATGGGATGGTGCTGACCTGACTGCCAATGTTTTGCGGTTGGCTGCTCGTCAAGTTTTTAGGACAGTTTATGTGCCATTGTTGTACAACTATAACAAGTACAACAACACTTGTTTCAAGAAACCTTTAGGAGAATGCCACCCTCATATGAATTACAATTTAGTGACAGTGAAACACACAGCGCACCTACTAACTGCTACAAACGACACCAAAAACAGCGTTTTGAAACATAGAGCGATTTGAATTTTCTCACAGGTAGCACTTTGGTATAGGAGGTTTTGAAAATGTTCCCAGATGTTCTCCTGATAGCCCTTTTAGTAGCTGCAAATTAAAATATGAAAGGACGACTGATAAGAAAAAAGTGGGCAATAAGTTTTCGCTGTTTGAAATAAACTATCAAAGTGAGAGTGCAGAGCTTGTTCTAAGACTCCAACAGAGAGGACCGCACAGTATTAATAATGACTGAGACTTCATCCAGTCATTTCAATGGAGTCTTCAAGTAAGGAATCCAGCTTTTGACAGACGGATATAGTGATAACAATATATTATGGCAGGGGGAAATCTGGGACAGTGGGATGAGAGAAGCCATGAGAGGGTTTTTCCTAATAGGGGTCTCCCTTTGAGGGTATGCTCCATTTATCAATGTGTCAGTGGTGGAGCTCTCCACCATGATTACGCTTCCTGTCCAATTGGCTGGAGAGGCTGAAAGAGAGCTGGAAAGACCTCTCCTGAATAAACCAACGAGTTAGTTATGCCTGACTTACACAGCTAGGTCACATGAATGGATGCCTATGCTGTAATTTTCTATATTGCTAATCATTGCTATGACAGATAGTCTTTCATTTGTCAAAATAAGTAAAGGCACATTTTTCTGTATTTTTAACTGTTATTCTTAAAATCTAATTTGATTGTTTATTTTTGTTTTTAATTAATTGCTGAATTGCTAAACAAACAAATAATTATAACTGTGATTTTCAGAAAACATAAGTATTCTTTTTTTGGCTTGGACTTCTATAGGAATAAATGGCAATGGGCAGCATACACAACAAAACTACAGATCTTGATCTGAAAGTCAAGAGTCTGTTGCAGGCTGGTTTTAACAGAGAGGAAGTGGCTTCTCAGCATACTGCAGGGTGTGCTTGTTTCATCACCAGTAATCTCCCACATACAAACAGCTTAAGCCAGTTAAGTAAACCCAAGTAAAATAACCCCTATTGTCTGGTTCTTTAGATTTCTAAATGAAGCTGTGATTTATTTCCTGCATCCATTGAGAAAATATGAGTATCTGAGTAGCACCCTGGCATGAAGAAGCTGTTTGAGAATGGAAATAAAATGACAGCCACAGAGAAAAGAAAGGGGGGTGGTGGTAAAGAGTCTGACCTAGTTGGAAAAAACGCAGCAGCCTGAGGCCACAAGCTTCCTTGGCCCTGGCTTCATTTCAGGTCATTTCTTCTGCTTTCATCCCCCCTCTGTTTCTTTTTTAAATTTTTCTGTTTATCCCTTGTCTCTTTTTCCTTTGTCTCTGTTTTAACTGTCTGTGTAGCAATCAGCATCAAATATATGGGGGTTGTTTACCAGTCAGACACATGGGATACAAATGTTCCACTGTGCAAAAGTCTTTGGCTGGACTCACTTGAAGTGCTGGTGCTCTCTGGAGGAGCGGATCTTGGAGGAGTAGCGCTCAGCCAGTTTGTCCAGGCCTCTGGAGTACTCAAGCTGGAGCTCGGCCTTTCTGCGGAAGAACTCCTGCAGGTCCTGCAGCAGCTGCAGCCGGGACTCGGACTGCTGCTCCAGACAGCGGAACTGCTCCACCAGCTGGTTACGGATCTCTGCATATCAAAAAGGGAGACTATGTTCAGAATAAATACCGACTCTCTGGTGGATCAGGCTTGCATGCTGGGCCTTACTTCTGTCTGCCAAACAGGGCTGCAGGTCAAAATTAAACCCACAATCTTTCCACAGTGGATTGAGCAAAGCATGTAAACACAAATATGTAAGGATACAATCAAGCTAGCGCAGGCACTAATAAAAGAGCAAAGTCGTCACAATTGGATAAAACCGGATGTCAAACTGTATTTGTCTGCTGTCTGAGTTTGTGCGTGTGGTGAATGAGGTGGTGGTGTGCATGTGGGGCGGGGGGGGGACCAAATGCTGGGGTAGCACACGTGTATATGAGATGCAAGTCTGATGATTATAGCAGACAGCAGAGAAAATATAAAATAGGTCAGCTTCTCAAAATGCATTGTGCTGAGCGAGCCTTAAGAGAAGTTTGACTTGAGAAAACAAATCATAGGCATTCTTACAATTATAAGATTACTGTGGTTTCTTTTCATGACATCTGGAAAGTCTGATTCTGTTCATTGAAAATGAGAATTAGGGATAAATGTATTTCAGTCCTTTTTTATAAATACAGCTGGGACAATATTGGATGTTTGATAGAGAAGCAATATTAGTACAAGCTTTAGATTTTTATATTGAGTATGTCGGTCAATTTTCAGGAGGTATTCAGACATGTTTTTCTACTCTAAAGCTAATATAATTATTTACCTTCCTGAACTTCTTCTCTGTGGCCATATTTTAATGACTTACCCCCACCACGACCAGACAGTCCCTACTGGTATTCCAACTGGTTATTCCTGAATACCTCTGGGATTTCAGGTAATAAAAACATCAAATAAAACAGTAAAATCCCCTTTACAGTCTTACATTAACACTAAAAAGGAAAACAAATCACATTCAATGTCTTCCACGTACAGTTTATGGCAAGGCTGTCATAAATCCGAAGGTTAAGAGGCTGCTGGCTGTGAACCATATATCATGTCAGGACTGAGGGCTGTGTTTAAATACCCTGCTACTGCCAATGCGCATACAAAAAAGCAGCAAGCATCCATAGGAGTTGGCTAGAACGGATGCTGAAAACAGTAAACAGCTCTTATGTAGCACTTTTATGTTTCGTTAAATCTTAATCATAGCCTCCTTGTAACTATCCCTCTGTATTGCAGAATTTTGCTGAGGAAATTTTTAGTGCTGCGTAATTTTGCTGAAAGCAGATAAACAACCATGTTAACTTCCTGCCCAGACTTCTCCTGCATTATCACAGATCTCAGAGAGAGCAGTAGTTATTTTACCATACACCACGCTGAACTGAATCACTGGTAAATTTACATCTCTGGATTAATCAGTCATAGAACTACAAAGGGGGCGGGGTAAACAACGCTTCTCTTTGTACAAGACAACAAGATACAGCTGAGATGGCTGAAGATTCCACTATGACATTCTGTTACAACCATGCATAAGATCCTGAGGACTGAAAGACACTTTGTATAAATGTATCAATGGAAAAGATTGCTCAGCAGAAGAAAAGGCCATTTGTTAGCATCTAAATGGTGCTCCTGTATCTAGAATAAAAGGTTTTTCTTTTTCTTTTTAATCCTCCCCCAAACGACTGTGTGCGAAAAATGTGAATGAGTGAGAGAGAGTGAGAAAATCTGTGTAAATATGTAGTCCCTTGCTATCTGGAGATGTACCCCTCATGGTCCCCACAGTTGCCCAGTTGCCTGGTTACATGCCTCTGGAGGCATTTCAATGAGAGCAGGCCAGTTCCCTGTTCTGACAGTCGCAGCAGTCAGTCTGTTTAGCATAATGGCCAAGGACAAGGGCAACTTACTCTGCTTCGAAATACTCAACAAACAGCCTGTGATGATGAATGAGACAGCAATCGGGTTCAGAACAGAAGGAATGGTTATGTGCTAAAATAGACCACTGAACAGCACAATTTGTGGGCCTCTGTGACTGAAATAATTTTAATCGTATGGGGAGAGTTTAAAAGAGCGAGCAAACAATATAATGAGTTGATGTAAATTGATTTCACTGCACAAATTTATAAAGGAAACATCAAACAGACTTGTGATATTTGCACTTGCTCTCCTGTGAGCATGTTATTTTTAGAACTTAAACTGTTACTAGGGACTGTGCAATACTGCAGTACTTTCGATGAATCATTCAAGCCTTTGCAGTGTAATGCATAATTACACAGAGCTAGCAAGGAGTTCAAGTGAATTATATACATTGAAAAAGCGTCAAAAGCTCTCTAAATCTGACACTTTTCTATCTTTTCACTGGTGACACAAGAGCCATAAAATACTGAGCCAGACATGCTTCCTCTGCATGAGAACAGTGTGCAGCCAAAGTGAATAAAATGTTCCACACCTAAAGGCTTGTGGAAATTCACTAATAGGACATTTGTAGCTATTCCCCTTCTAAACCATATGGTTAACATCCAGAGACGCAGTGGTAACTTTACCAAGCATGTTCAGCAAAAAATAATTGCTTACAGAGACTTAGATGGTAACCCTGCAGCTTAATTAAATAAAGAGAACTTGTATAATTGCTTGCATCATAGAGGAAGTACAAAGTACGCAGACAGCAAACCCAACCTGAATTTGGGGGCATCTTTGCTTGTTGCCTTGTAGCTCTACAAATTATTTCTAATTTATGGTATCAAAATGGTGTCTATTTGTGTATGCATTTGCTTTCTGAGATGGTGTTTTTAACCAATGCAGACTTGCTCCCCAGCAGTCCTCCAAATCCCAACTGCACAGTGCTTAATGTGCATGATACTGTGCATCAGTTGAATGGAGAAATTATGGGTTAGTGGTGGTAGGTAGTGGTGGTGGTGGCAGCTTCAGACACCCTGTCTACCTGGCTGTGTTAAAAATATGTAACCTAATCAGTCTGTGGGCTCTTGCTTGAGCTGCTGAGGGCTGAATTGAAACTGAGAGTTACAAACAATTAAAGCTGTCCACTGCAACTGCAGTCTATATTTTTCATACTGTATTTTTTGCACAACTGGTGCAACCGAAGCACAATTGTGGTGTGGTGTGGTAAGAGACAATGTACATAACCGTAATAGCATAAGTACAGCAGAATGCTTTTTGGCTAACACGTGAGCCAGAACAAGGACCAACGTTTGGGGGCAACATCATTCACCATGAATGGATGAAGAGAGAAAAAAAAAGAAAAAATATAGTATGGAAATTATAGATGGTGCCTACAGTGGACACTTTGTTTCTAACACTTGTTTTCACTTTGGCTCTTTGTATGTTAAAACTCTGACCTTCTCTGTTGCTGACCAACAACAGCACGTGCAGGAGTAGCTCACAGACTGGTTGTAACACATTTTTTGTCACTGCCCCCATCTGACAACAAACACTCTGTGCAGGTAGGTGCGCATTCTGCAGCTGTGGTTGTGCATTTCGTGCCAATGCACAACCACAGCTGAACCATAATTTCCCCCTATTTGAGCTCCTGCATCACTGCAGGATAAAGGAACAAATATCACATATCACTGGCACCCACATATCCCATTCAAGCTAGCTTAGTAGTTACTGCGATGGCCAGCAGCAATCTCTGGGGTTAGTTAGCCATGCATGGCTAGTCATACAAAGTCTAACCCAGAGTGACACGTTGACATAATTTGGTACAAATCAAGGTTGTGTTCTGTGGACACGTGTCTTCCTAATGTAATAATAGCTATGGCATGACTCTATAATCTATTTGCTTGAGATTTCATTACTTCTCACAGTTTGTGCAGCCAAAGGCCAAAAAACATCAGAATTCCAGGCAATTTTCACTTTAAACTGGGTAAGAAACTCAACTGTCAGCACAGCATTTAATACATGATACCAAAAAACAGGCAACAAAGATGTCGTTTCGCTGTCATTTTGAGACAGCATCATTCTGTGCATTATTTCAAGCTGATGAATACCCAGAAGGGGGTATGTCTGGATGTATATCTGCAGTGAATATGGGGTCAGAAAGAGAGCTTATTCTAACACCTGTGTTGTTACAAATGCATTGTCAGTAAACACAAATGTCACAAGCGTTTCCACTTCATACTACTCTACTCTGCTTTTCATTCTGTAGTAGCATAGCAACAGCACATCTTGCAAAGGTTTTGTGTTATGGACTATTACAGCGATTAGTGCATACGACTCCAAACTGATCCAATTGCATTAAAGATAATGGGTTTTAAAACTAGAAGTCCAGAATGACACATGACAGGGGCATCCCCTCATTTAATTGTGCTTTAGTGTCAGATTAGACAGAAGCCTAGAGACACTTCGGGGTGCTCAGCTACACACTCTAGAACAACAATATTCAGCTGAATAAGGAAATACTATAAACAGTATAAAGAAAGATTTAATAATAATTAGAATTTTATAACACATTTTATGTGATTTGAAAACATAAACTCCCACGTAAATTGTAACTGAGACCTGACTCTCTGCTGAAATGTGGCATGTTGAAAAATGCCACAAAGTGCATTAGGCTTGTGTGTTGAACTGCTGTGCAATCAGCAATTCAGCATTATTGGAGGCCAGTGTCAGTGTCAGAATAAAGCTCCCACAGCTCCGAACCGATCCAAGCTCAGTTTGCAAATGAGCTTAAGATGTCAGCTTAAAAGCTTTTCCTGAAATCGAGATGATGGCGCTCTAACAACTGCAGAGCTGATGTGTAGACCGGAGGAAGAGCGTCTGAATACGAGTGCACGAGACAAACAAACAAACAGAGATAGTGACAAGGAGAAACTCCACCACACCTCTGACTGAAAATGCTTATCATACTCTTCATTCCAGACACATGCTAATAAGCTCTTGACATTTCCTTGTAGAACAGCAATGAGGTCTAATGTGTGTATATAACAAGAAGCATTCTGGGTCAAATTTTGGGCTGATGCCAACGTTTAAGATAAGCTCTTAACTGATAACCAGTGCAGATGATTGTGTTTGTTCATTTTGTTTTCCAAAAGGTTAATAAACATCCAATAAGTCAGCTGATGTCATAAAGCTGATATATTAGCATATTCCTAGTATATGATGATAATGTCATGAAAATTAATGAGTTTAATGTCTGCTGGGGTCCAGTGTGAAATTAAAACATTCATTTAGTCTCATATCATGATATAAAAAATTTTAATTGCCTATAACAATCATAGTTTAACCTTTCAAACAAAGATGAAATGATGAAAAAAAATCAATGCCGGACTTAGTTTAGGTTTAATTCTGGCAAAAAAGGGAGACTGGAGTTTAGGTATAGAAGAAAGTGGTTTTGTGAATATGTGTGACTGGGTAAATGGGGTTAGTATAAGCTTAGCCATTTGCTCCTTTAAGCAAGCCATCCGCTATCGCTAACTTACTGTACAGATTTCAAAGAAGTGCTGATTGTCTAATCTAAATCTCATCAAAGTAAGTGTAGAGAGGCCTATATGTACAATATCTGTCCATGCAACCATTTTTTTCAACTTATCTAATTCTGGGTTGTGGGTGTTGGGCCTATCCAACCTTCATGCGGTGAGAGGCAGGCTACAAGCTGGACAGGTCGTGAGTCAATCTGTCGCACGACTAACACAGAGAAACAGACATCCATTCATGCTCACATTCACACCTATGGTCAATTTAGTATCACAAATTAACCTAACCGCATGCCTGACTTTGGACTGTGGGAGGAAGCCAGAGAATCTGAAGAGAACCCACACAGACACAGGAGAACCTCCACACGCCAAGGCCCCACGCTGGATTTAAATCCAGGACCTTCTTGCTGTGAGGCAAAAGTGCTTAGCTCCGCACTGCCTTGTCGCATAACCAAAATAGTCAAGCTTATTTTGGTGCTGCAGTGACAGAAAAATGCCTGCTACTAGACAATGTATGTGCAATATGACAAGTTAATTAGCTAAAGTATAGCCTATAGTTAATATTTGTGAAACCAAACCCAAACTGGAATGTCTTACTAGGTTTGCACATATTTATCTGCCAAGCATTAGTATCTCAGTTCATTTTTGTATTTTTATTTTTTTTCTCATTGGACTGATGAACTAGTTGAATGACCTTTCCAGTTCTACCTAGTTTGAAAAATATCAACCTATGGTATAAGGAAGCTGCCCTGTCTTTGCGGTAGCCTTACATAAAACTACTTCCCTGATAGCTGATGCACCAAGCGTTGAGACCTAGTACCGTCTAAAGTTATCTCTAAATGGCTGGGAGGATATCCCACCCATTTACAACCTGCACTGTCTGCTCCAATCCAGCATCAGTGTTCCCGCCTCTCCTCTCTCTCTTTCTCTCTCTGGGTGGTTTAGCCAGTCACATATTTAGTGGCAGACAGTGAAATCCTTTCATGGTTCATAATTCATACAGACAGCATACATTATTTATGGACTTTCTGAACTGTTGGCTGTGTGACCTTCTTGAGCAATCACTCCTTATCCTTACAGTGTGACGGGAAAACTCATAAATATACTCCCTTTAAAGACTAAAACCGTATCATTTAATTTTGGCTTTTTACTAGATATATTTACATGTTTAACTAAATACATATGGGGGGAAATCTCAGGTTACCTGATTGGTAGAACTATAAAAAAGAAAAAGAAAAAAAACTAAAACAAAAAAACAAAACAAATAAAACAGCTTCACTTTTAAACAAATTATGACGGTCTAATAGCTGGCACATATGTATACAGACTAGGCATGCCACAACCCTGACACTCATCTCAACACAACGCAACACAGATACCAGTTAACCCAAGGTAATTTCAAGTAATAACCTCACCCCAGATGGACAACTGGAGTTAACGCTTGAATGCATGAACTAAAAGACGTTTTTTTCTGGTGAAAACAAATGACTCGCACACAACTATAAAATCTGTCCCAGCCCACAAGACTGCATACTGAAGCCAAATAAAGCTTGTGGTAAAGTTACGCAATTGTGCCTACACACAGACAATAACAATACGTTCGGGCCTGCGCGTTACCAACCTTTCACTTGGGTCTCATATTCGGCAATAATCTCTTTGTCCTTCTTGACTTTCGCCTGAGATGACATTTTTGGGGAGAACAGATTGTGCAATCCTCAGGCAGGAATCTCAGTAGCCACGATGCAGCGTTAGCCCTTGTGCAGTCCTCTCCATATAGTACAGCAACAATCAGACGTGAATCATCGCCCGCTTGACACACACAACTTCGGAGATTAAACGCACTTGAGGTTCTGCGATGTTGCTGCGCTGCGTTCAGGGCGACGTCGATCTAAAAGTGCATAATTATTCTCTTGGTCCCCAGCCCCTCCTCTTCAGCAACACTCCTCAGTGAATCGCAAAGCGGTCCCCTTTTTTATTTACATTTCATAAAGCCTCGGCTAGGAAACCTACTAGTCCCAGTGATAATAGCACAGAGCGCCTTCTGCACGTCCAGACTGCCCTTTTTCACCCTTTCTCGCTCTCTCTGCAAGTTCAATGCTGCAGCAAAAAAGGCTGAATGGATGTGAAAGTCAACGCGAGGCTCCTCCTCCTCCAGCTCCCTCCCTTCTTCCCTCACCACTTTTCTTTTCATGGATGATTTAAGATTCCCCCTGTGTGTGAACCGAAAAGCCTTTGCCAATAACAGAGAAGATGTCTGGAGCTGAGGGGAATTTTGTTTGTGGATGATCGGGATTTAGCTGATCTGTTTCGAGAACATCAGCGGCGTAAACCTGGCAGAGCACAGGAACAGAGGGAGTAGCGTGGATTAATCAGATGCGATTATATTTAAACCAATTTACTTATAGCTCCGGTGATGAACAAAGATTTGTCATTGCAAATATTCTTAGTCTAAACATTAAGGAAAATACACGTTATATACACAATGTATGCAGAGGACCAGTAGGATTGTAACCGAGTACATTTACTCGACCGGTTTACTTAAGTACAGGTTTAAAGTACTTTTGTTTTATTGAAGTATTTCTTATACTACTTCTTGCTTGTAATTCCCTATATTTTAGAAGCGCTTATTGCATTATTATTAGCATCTATTTTAACCCTTTCGCGTCTTATTATTTAGCAGATTAATGACATTGTTGCACTTCACACACAGGCTGCAGACTGAAACATGTCTTTTTGATAAAGTTTAAGGTTAGAGCTGGAATCAGGTGACCCTGAATCCTTCCTTCATTGTGCTGCAATAGCCTTAGGCTGCTGGGATGCTTCCCATGATGCACTGTGCATTTCTTCTCTACCCAACTCTCATGTTTATATACCACTATTACAAATGTTTAAAACAGTTTTCGTATTTATTAAGCTCTGTTTTCTCTTCCATAGTGTCCCTTTGGTCCTGTCCTCCTCTGCACTCTTTTTTTTCCCCTTCACACCTAACCGGTCACAGGAGATGGCTCCCAGAGCCATGGGGGTTCTGGGAGGTTTCTTCCTGTGGGAGAGGAGTTTTTCCTTCCCACTTTCCCCATGTTTTTTGTTTATAGGGAGTTGCCCAATAGTTTGAGTTTTCTTTCATATTTTGTAAGGTCTTTACCCTACAGTGTAAGATGCCTTGTGAATTGACACTATTTAAATATAAATTGAACTGAAGTGAAAAATTTAATTAGTATACATTAGGCTACCCATTTACATATAAGCAATTAAAATAATCAACAACTAAAAAAACTAAAGACAATATAATATAATACAATGCACTTGATTCTGAAAGGTGGTATTCTATAAGGTATCTTTACTTTTGGCAATTCAGAGATATTGTGATTATACAACTTGTGCACTACTTAAGCTGCTCGAGTACAATTATACATTTTAGCTAAGTAAAAGTATTTATTCTACTTTGCAAAACAATTATCCAACACAAAATTATATTTAGTCTTGTGCACCACTTTTATAACTGATGTAATAGAACATGTTGTGCAGCCTGAAAATCACACCCAGTGTTTGCTACATGTGTGAAAATGTTCTTATGAAATATTCCGACTCCCTGCAACCACAGCCTTTAAAAAAAACCAGGTTCATAGCACTATAATCTCTGAATCTCAGTAAAAAGAAAAACGAAAGAAAGAAAAAAAAGAAAAGAAAAGCCCTGCGTCATTTTGGAGCAGCTGCAATAAACGTGTCTTTGTTATGAGAAAAACTATATAGAAACAACTATGATAGGATTTCATCAGTTTGAGGGAACTTGGAAATGACAGAGTTAAAAATGTAATGTTGCAAAAGTTCCAACATTTTGCCAAAATACTGACTTTCTACTCGTGCAGCACAACAATATTCTTCTGTTTGGACACATCTCAGTATTAGGAATACTGTTCACTCAGCTCACTGGTTTCTGTTGTGTGGGAGCCACAGTGAGCTCATTGCAATATTTTTGTCATTAGTGTGCACCCATGACATCCATTCGTAGTTATGTAGATACACGTGTGGGTGTTTTTGACATAAAATATTTGGAGGAGCAAATTTTTGATCTTCTTTCAAACAGTGCCTACAGACTCTGTCACTCAAAATGAAAAAAAAATGTCAACAGATTTTCCGTTTTTATTTAATTCTATCATTTGAGCCAATAAAAACACAACTGCCATGTGAAAAAGTATATTCATACCTCAATATTTTATCACACCTTTAAATCCATAGAATTAGAACCGTGGATCCTTCATTTGGTGCCAGTGACTACAGGCTTCTTAAAGATTGACAGGTGAAACAAGTCTCATAAAATCTTTGACATATAAGGGTTGGTGTTCGTTTTGAAACTGAAGTGTGTAGAATCACTGTGGCACTATCTAAAGAGCTTCAGAGAAAAAATTGGTAACATATAGTTCTGACAAAGTAATAAAAAAAGTCCAAATGATTTTAAATAAACTGTGCTCTACAATTAAAATAAAACATCTACAAGTAGTGTTCACAGTGGTGTTTCCACCCCAGCAAATTCAACCACAAGAGTGGAGTGTTTGATGCAGAAACCAATTTACAATAACAAGAAAATTCATCACAGGATCAGCAGGTGACTCTTGCAACTGTTGGTGTCAAAGTGATTTTGGCTACAATCAGAAAGCGACTGCAGAAATGTGACCTGCATGGGAGGTGTGCTTGGAAAAATCCTTTGCTGGCTAAAAATATCATCAGAGACCAGCTACAGTTTGCCAATAAACATATCTGTAAAGACCAGGTCTGTTGGAATAATATGCTCAGGACAGACACATCAAAGATAGTGTTGTTTGGCTACAGTAACAGCAAACATGTTTGGGCAACAACCAAAGGCAGATTTTTAGGAGAAGAAGCTCAGTTCACTTGTGAAGCATGGCAGTGACTATGTAACAGTCTGGGTTTGTTCCCCTGCCTCAAAGATTGAGGAGTTGCGGCGCTTGATTCGTATGTCTGAATCACAGCAAAGAGTGCTTAAAGATAATGTGAGGCCATCTGTCCAAAAGATGACGTGGAGCCTTCAATGAGACACTAGTGAATCCACCAAAGAATTGCTCAAAAAGAAGAAGAAATGCTGGATTATGTGGCGAGACTAGTGGCCTAGTCAAAGCCCACATTTGACTCCAGCTGAGATGTTGTGGGAGGAATTGGAAATAAGCTTTAAATGCAAGTAAACCCCCAAACATTTTGCATGTGACAGAATTTAGCATAGAAGAGCTTTCAAAAATTTTAGAACTGATGTCAGAGTATGTGAAATTATGCATACCAGTACGAGCAGTTGTTGTTGCCCAAGGAAATAATACTGTAGTTTCTGAGACCAAGCAGATCTCGTGTTTTCCACTTGAATTCTACACCTATTGTTCCTTATGGTTGTGTTCAAGTGCAACATCTCTATCAGACTCAGAATTTTTATTTATCTGAGTTTAATCAACTCCATCATCTCCATGTGTTGAGCTTTTTTATTTCTTTCTTTCTTTCTTTCTTTCTTTCTTTCTTTCTTTCTTTCTTTCTTTCTTTCTTTCTTTTTGCATTATCAGTCTTGAAGTGTCAACAAAACAAGCTGATTCTTACTTTGTTTGTAATTGGTGAAAGTTGGGCTATAAGAAAAGCCTTCTGGTGTAACTAAACATGGTGTGCACTGCTGCGTTAACAGTGATAAAACACTTCCCCAGAGAAAGTGTGTTGCTCTGCTCTGCATTTCCCCTATGAGAAGTGCATTTCACACAATTTGCTGACACCTTCTGTCAAATGACTTCCTGTATGATCTCAAGTGCAAATGTGTGCAACGTCTTTCATCTTTAGTTCTCCCAAAATGTGTTTTTGTCTCAGAGCAATGTAAAGTGGTGTGTAGGACAGGGATAATCGAGCCTGTGAAAAAATTGCATTTTGGTATGTGACAAGAGATCCCCATCTTCCTTTGCCCTAAATTTTGGGGGAAATCTCTCAGCGAGCTCTTGGTGGAAAGCCCCTGAGAAATCTGCAGTCCCTATCATGCAATCTTAACAATCGCAATTTCTAATTTTTTCTGTGGAAAAGTTACTCACCAACTAACTGTGTACCTGTTAAAAGTTGGGTGGGTTTGAAAATAATGTGGAAAAACTTGTGTGTAACTTTGCTAAGGAAACTTTAATGACATCCAGGTCTTTATGGGCAAAATAATCATCCAGGCCTCCACCAAGGAAAGATTAGGGTCCTTCAGGAAGCTAATAAAGATGCCTAACTTAAATCATTATATGATTAATGCTTAATTAATGCTAAAGTTTCCCCAATCATCCCCCAAAGCAGTTCATAGTATTGGTCATTACAGCTCTGGTACTTTGGTATTACCAAAATCATGTTTTATGTTTCTATAATAGCTAATCCACCAGTATGTGGAAGCTCTTTAACTAAAATGACTATTTTAACGCTCAGCTATAATGTTTGTTTTTATAAATGAATTTCCACATTATTTTTTTTATTAGATTGTCAAACTACACTTGTTTACCTGCACTCCTGAACAGAAAAAAATATTTTTAGTGGCTAAACAATACATGAGATTTGCTCAAATTTGGGGAAAAACAAAAAGTTGAATTCAATTCAGTGAATTCACTATTTTTGTTTTTGTTTGTTTTAAATGTGGTTTTGACAGATTTGTAAAATATTAGTGTTTTCTTGTTATCACTTTAGTTATTACATTGCATCACAGCATTAAGAATCCAATGGCAAGTGTATGCCCACTGTGGGTTTTAATCAAGTTGTAATAGTTAGACCTTTTTACATGGACAAGAGTATTTTGTTGTTTGTTTTTTTGTTTTGTTTTTTTTGTTTCCCTTAATACATTTTGTTGAACATAACTTTATTTTGGTGTATGATAAGGTATTCTGCTGAGGTCATTATGGAAACCTTGATACATTTCGTTCATACATGTTTCTGAAAGGCAAGCAACACGAATGCATATTTGTTTTCATAGCTTAATTCACAGTGATTCAGATCTGCTCATTCGTGGACATTATACTTAAATGTTTGCCAACAGGAACTGAAGCTTTGTGTTGATTCTCCTCCCCTGTATGAGAAGGACGCGCACAATGCTACTGAGGAACGGTA